TGGAGTCCCCATCACTGGAGGGCTTTCAAAGACGTGGAGATGTGGTGCTGAGGGGTATGGTTTAGTGGTGACCTGGCAGGGCTGTGCTAACAGTTGGTCTTGGTGATGCTAAAGATCTCTTCCAACCAAAATGATTCCATGATATTTTCTACTCCTAAAGCTGATTTAGCCTTCCTTAAACTTGTGGAGGCTCTACCTTTCATCTTACAGATGAGGAAATACACATGTTTAAGTAGTTAATCACTGTACTATAATCTCGATGTTTGAAATATTTTTTCATGCAAGCACAAATAACTTGGAACTGTCTCTTCAGCCAGACCCACAGCGCCGGCGTTCTTGCACTGTTATTGATTATAGTCATCAGTCCTTGAGGAGGAAAGGATCAACAGGCTCAGGTATGCCCATCAGTACTAGAATTTAATAAGATCAAGAGGTAGGCTTTTGGGACAGGGATGCATTTTCTACGTAGGCAATTGCATCAAGGGGGGTGTGTTTCAAAGTTCTATTTCATGTTTTAAAATGTCCATTATACAAGTTTTACACTTGCATAGAGAGTACGTTACGGTGTGAGATTTTATTACCATTTAGGATTTTAAGTCATTTCAGGAAGCTGAATCCAATCATCCCCAATGCCTCTCATGCCAAAGTTAAGAGCAGGAGTTGCCAATTTAAACAACCTAGCAACAACTACCTTCTGCCAAAGGGTTTTAATTCTCCTTAAGTACACAACTGAAAGAAATTGCATTATGTCCAAAAGAAACTTACTTGTGCTGTGCCTGGAAGGGGTTCTGCTAGAACTGCACTAGATCTTAAAACTTGCATTAGATAAACTTTTAAGTATATTTTAAAGCCAGTAACTATGCCAGTATAATTGACATGCATACTGTGAAAACAGAGTTTCTTGTACTGTTTAATTTATATCTAGATGAACTTCATGGAATTACTTGGCATAACCTAAAAATCAGTCTCATCTGAAATGGCTTATTTTTAGTTTATCAAGGCAGCAGAAAAACATTTTTGTTGTGAATATAATATATAACTTCCCCCTAGCCTTCCCCCCTTCCTCACTGCAAAGTCACCTCCTTAAAGTATTTATGGCTAATACCCTTTGAAAGCAGGCTTTAACTGTGTTGCAGCCTAGTTACACAGCCACAAGTGGGGTTATTTTGTAGCTTTTGTTTTTTAAGACAATACTAAGTTGCACAGAAGACCAGTGAACCTTGCATTCAAAGATCTATACTGTGACCTCTGCTGCACACACAAAAGGGCTACTCTAGTCAGTTGAAAGGGAGTTTGTTCAGAGGTTATGGCAGATGAGAAGGTTAACTTTTGTGCCCTGGAACAGGTTTTCTGAAGGCCATCTTTATAGCTCTTCACCCGAGTTCACCTCGAGGGCTCCCCATTAGCTTCAATACCAAGTCAAGTGAAGTTTTTACCTCCACCTGGAACGGGTGGCACAGAGCAGGGCATTAGATGCACCTTCTGCAAACCAAGTCTGTCGAGACAAGTTACACTGTATTCCTTTCATCACATCTGGGATTCCTTATGGAGTTGTCAGAACTTCTTAAGTAAAAATATACTAACAAGATGGGATTAAAGCTGTAAAGGTTAATGTAGCAGGCTCATGGGTGACTGTTAGAGGACAGGAGGGGTCTTCTAGCTTGCTTAATGGCTGAATGGCCAACTACTACTAATATAAGTAGTACAAGAAGTAACTCAAGTGTAACAAAAGCCTTAAAGTGAACTTAGTTTTAAACAAGAAAAAAGTGTTTCCTACTAAAATTACAATACCTGCCTCCTCCCCTGAAAAAAAAAAAAAACAAAACAGTATCTTTAAGTGCAAGATGAGTTTTACAACTGCTGTATTAGCAAAACAATATTGAAATCAGCAGAACTTCATAGACTTGAATATTTCATGAGAGATTAAGGAACACAGTAGTTCCCTGCAAAGCAGCAACTACAAAAGCACAAACTTTGCACCTTTTAGAAGTTCACTCACTTGTCTCAAACTTCTGTAAGTTAGACACAGTGCAGCTGATAGTGATGTACTAGAATAAAAAGCCAAAAAAAAAAAAAGCATTTTCATTTTAAGCTAAAGATGTGTTTGGTAATTAGTTTTAATACCTGCCTTAAAGTTGTACATATTGTGTGTTTATTAGGTGTTCAGCTGCGTGGTTCTGTGAAGGCCCACAGCCGGAGCGGATCAGTCACGAAAAGCAAACAGGGGTTCTGACATGCCACGGAGAAGTTCCCTCCATCCATCTCCAGGGAGTCATGGGCCACCTCACGCTCTCAGCTCTGTCAGCGGTGTTTACATGGAGTTTTTGACCACCCTTCCTTATGAATAATTATTTTTATATAAATCTAAGAAGCAGCTGCCAAAGATCAGAAGGGATAGACTTACACATTCCATTTTCTAACAGTAGAAAAAGTTTTACTCCGTTGGGAGGGTGAATATACTCCAGTGGACAGTAAAGCCTAACTCCTAGAAGGTCTCACAAATGCTCTCAGTCTTTGCTGTTTTCCCATTACTGACTTGTGACTGGTTCCTGTAGTTGTAGGCAGGTACTGCAGAACCTCCTGATTTTTCCATTAGCTCCACAAATGATTAATCAGGCTTTCCATAGTTGTAGTAATTTAAATTTCTTAAACTGTATTTATATCTTTAAAGCAATATTATACTATCAAAAGCAAGCACTGCACCTGATACCGCTTCTACAACTCAGAGAAGTCCTGTAGGAATTGCAGCAGATGTAATGGAGTTGTTTAAAAATAAGGTAGCAAACCAGGTGAATAGGGCTTACTACAAGTAGTTCCAGAACTGCTGGAAGAACTACTTTCACGAATAT